TAAGAGTTAATCTATTTCACCTTGTGCATCATTATCATAAAGAGAATATTCATTACTAACCTCATCAATTTTATCATTCAAATAATGTGAAGCCATTAATGCAAGATTAACACATTGATTGCTCTCGGAATCAGAAGATGAACTTTCCCATGCTATATATGCTTTCTTTGACTTCTTATCTTTATTTATCTTGAAATATTTCTTCTTATTTTCAAGTGTAGGACATTCACTTTTAACATGTCCCTTTTATCCACATTCAAAGCATGTGTCCTTCCTTGTTGGTGCTTTCCTTTTTCTATCTTTTCGTAGAACCTTTTCAATCTTCTTGATATGATAATCATCTTCACTACTAGTGGATTCATCCACTTGATTGCTATCATGATTTTTGATCATTGTCTTTAAAGTAATGTCTTTTGAATATTTTACTTGGATTTCATGATTTTCAAGTCTTGCAAGTTTCGTCTCATATTCTTGAAGTTTTCCGAACAAAGTTGCGGAAGTCATTGTGGATAGATTCTTCTTCTCGAATATTATCGTCACTTTTGGTTGTCATTACCTGAATAAAGATATAAGCACTTTAAGATTAAGTTCATCATTATTTAAAGTGTTATCGAGTACTTTCAAATGATTTGTCAACTGCACGAATCTTTTCTGCAAGTCGAGAATTGATTCTCAGAGCTGCATTCTGAATAGTTCGTATTCTTGACTCAATATATTCAATCTTGATCTTTTAACTTTAGAGGTTCCTTCATGAATTTTTACCAAGGTATCCCATATTTCTTTTACCGTTGTGCATGCTGAAACACGAAAGTATTCATCCATGCTAAGTGCACCTTGAAGAAGATTGATTGTCTTTTTGTCATAGAGGACTTTTTTCTCATCTTCGTCATCCCATGCACTTTTAGGATTTGATGTTCAAACACTATTGACAACACATACCGAAACATACAAACCATTTTGGACAACATCTCATATTTCTTCTCTTTGTGCTTCTAAGTGATCCTTCATACGAAGTTTCTAAAAATAAAAGTATTCACCATACAAAAATGGAGGCTTGTTATTACTACTACTATCTCTAAAATCTGGATTTTGATTTGCAGAAGCCATTCTGGATCTTTAGGAACATGTTATCTATAATCTGCTCTGATGCCAATTGTAATTATTGAGTACGCCTAAGAAGGGAGTGAATTAGGTACTATAAATTTTTTCTGGTTTTTAGTAATGAAGGATATTATTTTTCTAGTTTATGGTGATGTTAAGAAAGCAATAAAGTGCAGAAAAATAAATGACATAAGGGTGTATCCTGGTTCCCCTTACAGTTCGAGAGCACTCCAGTCTCCTTTCAACATGAAAAAGAATTCACTATTGTTAGATCTCTAGACAAGACACCCTAGTCTTTCTATACAAGACTATAACTAATAAACCCACCAAGAACAATCCTCTTGGATTTTCACTAAGTAAACTAAGAGAACAATCCTCTCTTAATGACTCTCTTGCTCCTAATAATCCTAGACAACAATATACAACCAAACAAGTAGAACAAGAAAACAATCATTTCTTTTCTACTCTCTTATTTCCAACAGTCCTGGAGAACAAACAATTACAAACCAAATATGAAAATTATTTGAGTAATGAAGTTGATGAATATGTATCAATCACTTAGATTGATCTTCTCTTTCGATCATGCAATTTATAAAGATAATAGTGCCCAAGTGTTGATGAATATGGTGAATTTTCTGGACTGGTTTTGAAACTAATGCAGAAAAATTATTTGTGAAAGTTTGATAATCATAACACTTTATTTTTTGACAATTTGAATGAATATAGTAAAGTTAAATTGCAATGAAAGAAGTGAATTTCAAATATGAAAATATAGAGATTATATAGTGCCTTAACACCTCTTTGAAATGATGTAAATCAATAAAACAATGTATATTTTAAGAGGTGCAAATTGGAAAACGTATAGAATTCAAAACAAATAAATTTGGCTATGTAATACTCAGGAAATCGATTTACCATATGGGGTAATCGATTTCTGTGAAGCGTTGTGCCCATTTTTTGAACAAGTTGTCCAGGAAATTGATTTACCAAAATGGGGAATCGATTTTCATGTTAAAAAACAGTTTTCTGGAAATTAAAATACTGCTTCAGATTGGTGAAAATTATGGCGGTTTTTAGTGCTACTACGAGAGGTAAAACTATCATAATTTACCAAAGACGGAATGCACTACAAAAAAATAGTTTATACATACATATGAATCATGAATTATTTTGAGCACTTATTTATCAATATATATAAGATGAAATCTTGATAAATTTGTTGCTAGCTTTAATAGTGATGAATCTTTCACTTGAGGCTTTTTCCATTCTTTTTGCCAAGATCATTTGATTATCACTTTGTCTTCATCAAAACAAAATATTTTGTAATATAGTGTCCAACGATACAATGTGAAATTATACAATGTGAATTTAGTATCAAAATTATGCACAATATTATGTTGGAAATTATGTTATTTAGTTTTTCAAACAATTTGGAAACTCTGACTGTGAATTCAACATATTGGAAATTTTGAAGTTTATTTTTTTGTTTATATTTCGGGTGGTCCGATTACCCGACCGAAAATCATCGGACCGATCTCGGTTATCATAAGGCAAGTAATTTAAATTCGGTTCAGTCTCGATTTACCCGAGCATACCAGATCGATTTTGGGCAAAAAAAATTCCATCATTGTTATGGTCTGATCTCGATTTACCCGAGCATACCAGATCGATTTTGGGCAAAAAAAATTCCATCATTGTTATGGTCTGATCTCGATTTACCCGATTAGGGTTCGGATCCACTCCTCAGAAGACTGTATACTTGGATCGAAAATAACCCTATCTCCGATGCAGAGTTATTTATTTCTCAAGTTAGCTTATCATTTTATATTAGTGATCCTCCCCTTGTTTAAAAAAGCTTTAAACATGAATTTAATAGTCATATGTATTTTTGTTAATAAAATTTATAATTTTTTATATATATAAAAAATATAATTTAAAATAAAAAATTTGTTTAAATAATTTTTTTTATAAAATGTTATTGATGTTTCTTATGGATTGACTGCATTATGAAAAATAACATGGAGTTTATTCAAGATTGTTTTGGTACAGAAGGGACATATATGGAATTCGATGTTTTAACACGTGTGCTGCAATATTTATTCTCTTACAACAGACAAATGTTATTGTTGTTTTGGTTTAGACTTATTCTATCCAAGTTTCGCTCTACAAAATAGATTTACAGATTCATGATGAAGAGTTAATTTAGATGTTTTGGTGCAACATGTGAAACTCGATGTTCCAACATGTGTAATGCAACATCTCACCTTGACAACTAGCCATATGAATGTTGTTTGGTGTGCAATTTCTAATTAGAATTTAATCAGATTTGTTGTGGTTAATTTATCAATATTTGTTTGATTTGTTTGACAGCTAGAAACGTTTTAATCATATTTAAATAGAGATTTAAATTTGAATTTGAAATATAACAAATCATATCTTATTGTTGGAGATATTTATCGAGAATATCATATCCAACAAAACCAACTATTTTATGAATTAAATCAAATCAAATATTCAAAGGAGAAAGACCCATATGACATTGTTGTATAAAGAGGCTCAAGTCTCATGTTTGTGACATGGATTTTGTGCGCAAGATTTAGTATCTTTATGTTAGGGTTTTGAGTAGTTGTAACTTGTATTCCACGTTAATGCCACACAAGGGTTAATGTCAAATCTTTGTGTATATCACTCTATGTTTCAATAACTTGGCATAGTTGTTGGTTTGTCTTAGTTGAGTTGTAAATTCAACATTCAAAATGGTTGTTATTGAAGTTGTTCACTTGGGATTAATGATTGAGAGAAAATGATAGGGATTATCATATTTAGGAGGGAACCTAAGTAAAAAGTCAATGGGATTAGGAAGAGACATTGAACATCATGAGGTTAATGTTCGTAGAAGACTAATTATACTAATTTGAAGTAGTGAATTTCCTTTCTTAGATAGAGTGCCCCCAATACGTAGGTGTTGTTTGCACTGAACTAGATTACCAATATATGGTGTTATTTATTACTTTTACATTGACTATGTGTTATTGTCCATTTGTGTGTTAAATCTGATTTAATTTGTTAGGTCAATTGTTCCAACATTGTGTCTAACATTTATCCCATCAAAAATAGAATTTCAATTGATATCAGGACATGCACGCTGTTTTGTTTGGGTGAGCTTCGGGAAAGATATTTTCTGTTCAAATGGACAACGCCAAGGATGGAGGTTCAATCAACAGGCCACCTATTTTGAATGACATAAATTATGACCATTAGAAAGCTAGGATGATTGCGTTTCTTAAATCCATAGACAACAAAACTTAAAAGTATGTGGTTAAAGGTTGGAAATATCTTGTGATTACTTCTCAAGATGATTCTAAAAGCTTAAAACGTGAAGTTGATTGTTCCAAAGATAAAGATAATGAAGCTCTTGAAAATGACAAAGTCTTATGACTCATCGACGTGGAACAAGTCTACTAGGACCCAACTAAAGATGACTTTAATTTTCTTCTTGTTATTTTATGATCAAGTTTTATTATTTTATTTGTAATATTTGTTTTATTTAATATATATTTATTTTTCTTTTCTACATAAAACAAACAAATACTTTTTTTTTTATATAAAATACTCAATTTCATGATATTGATTTTATATATGAGCTACAATAATTTTGTACTATTTTTTGTGTTAGTATCTTTAACAAAAAGTTTTTACAATGCTTTGTTGTCGTACTTGTTGACTCAATCTCATTCTCATATAAACAATACTTGAAACGGTATATTTATCCAAAAGATTCCAACTTAGAAGCTGACATAAACATAGTTCTACAAGTGTTGTTTATTAATCCTTAACTTATCTCTTTCTCAATTGGATGTTACTTTTGTAACACCAATTTTGTGTGTTATCTAATTTCTATGGCTTCTCATCTGACTCTTCTTCATGCTCCTCCTTTTTCAGTTCCCACTAAAAACTGTCATTCCAAATATACTACCTTAAAACCACTCAAACCCACCACCAATTTTCCTTCTTTCTTTCATTGTTCTTCAATAACATCACAAAGAGGAACTTGTTCGTCACTGATTGCTTGTTCCTCTTTAAATGGTAGAGGGCCAAATGATTCAGTGGATGATGGTGTTAAGAGCGTGGAGCAACTTGTTGAAGAAAAACAACGAGCTGAATTGTCTGCTAGAATTGCCTCAGGAGAATTCACTGTCAAACAGGAATCTGGGTGTGTATTAAAAACCTTAAAGTTTTCAAATTTTCATTCTTTTCTTGATTTTTTGTCTTAATTCAATGATGGGTTGGTGATTAATATCATCATTATTTATAGTATATAATTTGATTTGGGGACAGTTCAAGAGTGATTTTTGTTTGCTTTTTTGTTGTGGTTTTGATATTAGTTTACCTTCTGGGTTAAAGAAGAGTTTGTCAAATTTGGGAGTGCCCAATGAGATTCTGGAGTTTTTATTTGGTCTGTATCCCAAAATTCCCGAGGCAAAAGGGTCGATTAAAGCCATTCGAAGCGAGGCTTTCTTCATTCCCTTGTATGAACTTTTCATCACATATGGTGGGATTTTCAGGCTTAATTTTGGTCCAAAGGTTAGTTAACTCTTTTTTCTAGCTGAATTTTATTTCATTTTCTCTTTAAAAACAATGTCTTATGAGGATTTTGAGATTCGAAACTTGAGAAAACATGAGAGAAAAAATGGAAAGGATCCGTTCCCCTTATATGGGATAGTTGATGAAGGTTTGACTCACATGCTTGATCTTCTATCCATGACAATTGCATAACTTAGGTTTGTTAGAATCAAAGGGTCCCTTGTTAGGTAGGTGATTTGTGATCACCTATGAAACACTAGAGACAACACTGGCACTAACATGTGATACCAATAGTAATATGGGAAAGTAGAAGTAGTTGAATGTGATCATATGTAGAAGTGTCGTGTCGACATGAACACTAGAGACACCTTCAGTTTGAAGTGTCAGTGCACCATAGGTAATCATTTTTTATTTTTGCCATGACAGTGAGATGGGGAGAGACTCCCCTCGCCTTGAACGTTACTATGTCGATAATAAGAAGTGCCTTAAATGGGATAACTGACTTTCTTTCTTGGTATCTTGCAGTCCTTTCTGATAGTATCGGATCCGGCTATTGCAAAACACATATTGAAAGACAATGCGAAGGCTTATTCTAAGGTAATCAAACCAACATTCAACAACGATTTACACTATACAATTGCTTTTATGCTCTGACACTTCTTCCTTACATTGTGTGTGACTTCTCCATGTGCAGGGTATCTTGGCTGAGATCTTGGATTTCGTAATGGGGAAAGGGCTTATCCCAGCTGATGGGGAAATATGGCGAGTTAGACGGCGTGCTATAGTTCCAGCATTGCATCTGAAGGTTTTCTAATGTTCTTAGACTGATTTACTTATAGTCACTATTGAATCATATCCAGTATATATTTCTTGGCTGCTATTGTCATGAATCAAAGGGTTCCATTTTGACGTTGCAAAAATTATTACTAAGCTGTGTACGAATGGATATCGGGTATAATTGAGTTATTTGAGAAATACTTGAAACTTTTTGAAGATAGGTAGCATTTGTTACCTAATGAATGAACATAGATCCACAGATCAATATTGATCACCATTAGAATGCCATTTATGACATTTGGATCTCTATTCATTTTATGGTGTTGAGAGATGCTTGCAATTACTTCACTTTTTTTCTTAAATCTCTTTTAAAACATCTCTATCTTGCTCTTGATTTTTGTTTCTTGGTTGTGGTTTTAGTTTGTAGCAGCTATGATTGGCCTTTTTGGACAAGCTACAGATAGGCTTTGCCAGAAGCTAGATACTGCTGCATCTGATGGAGAAGATGTTGAGATGGAGTCACTTTTCTCTCGATTGACGCTGGACGTCATTGGCAAAGCAGTGTTCAATTATGATTTTGATAGTTTATCAAATGATACTGGTATAATTGAGGTAAACATTTTGGAATATTCCCTTACCTCGGCATATGTAAGTAGTATGTAGGTATAGATATATGGAAGCAATTTCCCCCAATAAGCAGCCAATTTCTCTCGGTACCACTTGTTTTCAATATTAATGGAAATTTCTGGATCCGCCGCTTCTCACCTTGCTATCCTTTTTTGTCATTGTTCTGGTTTACAATTTATTTTCATTCCAAGTGAAGTTACTATGTACAAGTTTCTAATTGTTGCATTTTACCTAATTAGTCAGGCTGTTTATACCGTACTGAGAGAAGCAGAAGATCGAAGTGTTTCTCCGATTCCCATCTGGGATATCCCAATATGGAAAGACATATCCCCACGTCAAAGGAAAGTTGCTGCATCTCTCAAGCTTGTCAATGATACACTTAACAATCTCATCGCAATATGCAAGGTAATTTTGTCATTTCATTGAGACAAACGCCAAGCTTATTTTCTCAAAGTAGATTCAAGTGAGATACATATGCAATATGCCATACCACCGCAACAAGGAACTTTAATACTATAGTTCTGTAAACTCTAACTTCTTGTTTCGTATATGTTTTTCAATTATCATTTACAGAGAATGGTGGATGAAGAAGAGCTACAGTTTCATGAAGAGTACATGAATGAACAAGATCCAAGTATTCTTCACTTCTTGTTGGCATCCGGAGATGATGTGTGTTAGCTACTTCTCAAATTATTTTAGTTAATAGAGAAACTTGATGTAAGTGTGAACTATGAAAGTAATGACTCCTTGTAGGTTTCAAGTAAGCAACTTCGTGACGACTTAATGACAATGCTCATTGCGGGACATGAAACATCGGCCGCTGTTTTAACTTGGACCTTCTATCTTCTTTCAAAGGTAATTAATATGTGGCTAAGGTTAAATAAAAATAAATGTGCTTGTTTGTACCTATATTTGTACACGCCTGTGCTTGTGTGTGTGTGTGTGTGTCGTGTAATAGAACATTGATTATTTCTTCACATAACCGATAAATGCACACACTTTTATCTTGTTGTCGAATATGAATGTGAAGAATTAATTTCTAATGCAGTGATGGCTAAAACAATAATATTTTTTCTTTTATGTATTGGCTGCAGGAGCCTAGTGTCGTGTCGAAGCTCCAAGAAGAGGTTTGATGAGATCCTTATCTTTCACATTAGTATCAAAGTATCCTATTAGATTTCTAGATCACAAGAATAGGATAATATATACATTTTCACAGGTTGACTCGGTACTTGGTGACCGGTTTCCAACTATTGAAGACATGAAGAAACTCAAATATACAACTCGGGTGATTAACGAGGTATAAAGATGACGTATCTCCCATCATGTGTTATGATTATTTTATAGCAAGCAAGAGATGAACTTTTCTTAATATATACTCGATTTTCAGTCGTTGAGGCTTTATCCACAACCACCTGTGTTGATTCGTCGCTCTCTTGAAAATGACGTTCTTGGAGAATATCCTATAAAAAGGTAATTGCAAAAGAAAAAAAAATCATCTTGTTTATCTTAAATATGATGACTTTATCTCATTAATCATTTGCAGAGGAGAAGATATCTTTATATCTGTCTGGAACCTACACCGCAGTCCAACCTTGTGGGATGGTGCTGATAAATTTGAACCGGAAAGATGGCCGTTAGATGGACCTAACCCTAACGAGACGAATCAAAATTTCAAGTATATTACCTCTACCTTATCAATTTGCATGGTTTGCAATAAACATGCAAGTGAAGTAATTAATATGTTATTCTTTCTATTAGATATCTTCCATTTGGTGGAGGACCGCGGAAATGTATAGGGGATATGTTTGCTTCATACGAGGTACGCAGTTATACTCGAGACTTGTTGAGGCAAATGCTGTACACATACTAACGATAATTTTTGTCTGTGTGCTTTTATGATACTTATTGTGAAGACTATAGTAGCCCTTGCAATGCTTGTTAGTCGGTTCAATTTTCAAATGGCGGTTGGAGCTCCACCGGTAAGTTTGTTACTTCGGGAATTTTAGTAATACTCGGTTTTGGTCTCTATTGACTTAACTCATGTCCGTTTATAGGTTGTGATGACTACAGGAGCCACAATTCATACAACACAAGGATTGAATATGACTGTAACGCGCAGAATAAAACCTCCGATTGTGCCCTCGTTACAGATGTCGACATTGGAAGTGGATCCGTCCACGAACATTACTGATCAAGAGGAAATAGGTCAGAAAGGCCAAGTTTATCAGGCTCAAAAGTCTTGATTTCTGGAAGTGGACCCATATAACATAAAATGAACTGATTATTCGTTGGTTCCTTTTTCGAAAGGAAGAGAGAGCAAAGCTTCAAGTCCTTCACAATTCTTAGTAAATAGAGTGTACAATTCACAGATTATTTCTCATTGAAAAAGCTTCTAAAGAAATATAGTATTTAAGTCAATATAGATTATCATCTATGTAGAGTCAGCAATACTATCAATGTGGATCAAAGTTACATGTTTTATTCTATATATGCATTTTTTGTTGTTTTGTGTTATCTTTTTGTTACCAAAATGAAGGATCAATTGAGGCTTACAATTACTTATTGTTAAAATGAATTATCAACAAAGAAAGCAGTTTAAGATGTTAAATAAGGTAATCAGTTTCTTATTTCATGTGTTTTTCTATACCACTGAGGTCCAAAATCCGTGCGTTGCATGATTTTAGGGAGATGAAAACTATTAACATTAAATTGAAAAGGGAAAAAATGAGTTGTATTAACTGCAAAAACCCATTCTTCAATGCAAAACATGATTGATCGAAAGAAGTGTTAGATCCATCACTATTAATCTATTATAAAGCCGTTACATACAAAACAAACCCATGAGATATGCAAGTTTCTTGCCATAAAAGATTCCAATGAAGAACGTCATCAGTTGTACTCTACTGAATCAAGTTGAGGGGTATATCAATCCTTCAACTTATCCTAATAAATGTTGCGACTACTGAAGGTAAATTGGATAATACTGGACTGTTCTGAACTATTTCTGGAGAAGCTCAACAAAATCACCAGGACAATTTACATTTCACAATCTCTTATTTAGTAGAACTAGACTGAAGAATTAACATAATTACACAGAGGACAAGGAGCTATTTAATTAGAAGACTTGTAGCAACCAAAGCATTCGCATATAGATAACTGTTTATGTACTGAGGCTACTGGCTTGGACTCAGCCATAGCATCAGGATCTTGGCGCGGATAATGTTTATAGAAGGCATTAACTGCTCCCACAACCCCATCTTCGTTTTTCATGGAACTGGCAAGTTCAACAGCCCGCATTTTCACCTGCATAAAAGCACAGAACAATATATCTAAAGACTGATGGGCATACTTAAATAGGTAGTATCTATAATGTGATCACTAATATTTCTTAAGATTACACATTTGTTCAATATTCTTTTGTAAAAGTTGGAAATTGTACAATGGTCGTTTATTTGATTGTCTCCAAAATGTACTAGTCATTTTCCTATAGCATAATATATAAATCCTTATATTTTAGCGGATAAATTATGCCAGATAAGCATAATCTATTTTCTATTGCTGCTTAGGTAAAGCATATTCCCCCTTTTCCTGGTTCATTATTGATGTAGTGGAAAGGCCTATTTCAACAAAAGCCGACACTTAAAGGGGGTGAGAAAATTGCAGTTTAATTATTTTTAGAATTTTGGGTTTTTTTTTTGTAGTTTTGCTTGTTTTGTTCCTTAGGGCTTGTTAACTCTATTTATATTTGTTTTGCCGTCATGAAAACGGATCTGGTTTTTTAATAAAAATTGAGAATCTCTCAATCTTGTGTTTATCAATCTCTAGGTTATTCGTAGAATCAACTAGGTTTTGATACTATTGTGTTGTTCCATCACGTACGCTGCATCAATTATGGTGTCAGATGCCTGTGCATCTTAAACAAGGAAATTCATTGCACGTCGCTACATTCACAACACTAACTGATGTGATCACAATTGAACATTACCTCTGGATTCAGCATAAAACGTATGGCATCAACCAGCCTTTCCAATGTAAACTCCTTTACTGGGATGGGTGCGGGACCTACTCCTCTGGCGTGCACCCGCTCTCCCCAAAATGGCTGGTCCCCAAAGAATGGTACAATAGTGGTTGGGCACTATAAAAAAAAAGAGAATATAGATAACTCGTTAGAGGTATACATATATCGTATAATACTATTTATAATATTTCAGACTGCACTAATTACTTCAGCTCTAAGACCAGCAGCAGTTGTTCCAGCTCCCCCGTGATGTACCTGAAATATTCGCAACTATCAACCGAGATTCATTTTTAATTCCAAATAACTATACTTCCCACCAAGAAAAAATTAATACGTACCACAGCAGTGCATCGTGGAAATAGCCAATCATGCGGACAGTTGTCCAGTAAGTACACAGATTTGGATTTATTTAGTTCTGCCACTAAGAAAGAGAAATCACTACATGCTTCACAATCAAAGCAGCAAAATAATGTATACTGATGGCATGCTCGAAGTAGAAATCAAGACTCACAATTCCCAAGACCACCCCACCCTTTGTTGATAATACCTCTCTGCCCTGTTCGTTTCAGAGCTTGAACTATAATTCTTGTCATTTTTTCGGGTTCCTGTAGAGGCTGTTTTAAAATTCAAAACAAAATTTAGAATGTAAGTTTTTGAGGAGTTTAATAATAGCATAGGTGCATTTTGATAAACAAGATGATTAAGCTCAGAATTAGAGTTTTATATAAATTTAGGTTTGTAACCCATTTCATACTGCTGGTCTGGTGAATGCTTATTGAATTAATCTTTTCCAGAACTGGAAAAGTTCTTTTTTAATTTTTTTTTTAATTTCTAGTGACCCTTTACTATTGTTGTAGTTTCTAAATGTAAATACATTTCTATACTGATGCAAATTTCATTCAAGACAGGTCTCTTATATTCGGTGGATTTTGGAAAAACTCATCCTTACGCTACGGACACTTGAGAAAAACTGATCTTTCAACTTTCCTTTTCAGACAATTTTCCAACACAACTAATGATATCAAAATAAGTTGAGGAACATAACATACCACTTTGAATTTGAGACATATATACTAATGATTAATGATTATGGAAAATTATACATGGAAAAATTATACTTAAACAGTGGATCCCTAGATTCATCAGTGTGATCAGGTGGAAAAATTATACTTAAACATGTAGTTATAGAAACTCACGAGGCTACCAAATCCAATATAGATAGGGTTGTCTCCTTCTTTAAGCCAATCTACCAGCGGTTTTGGTGGTTCATAATTTGAAGCAAGGTCAAGGAAACAAAATCCAACAATGTCAATGTTAGGTCCCCAATCTGCATATTGAGAAGTAAAACAGAATCAGACTATCTCGACATAGTTCATAAAGCAGCTTGAGTGGGTGACAAACCAAGCTAGAGAAAGTGAGTGCAAAAACTAGAATGAAATAAATACTATGATGTGACAGTAGGTAAAGTATCAACCCTATGTTAGAATAACAACTTCTAAGAACTACAATGGCACATCAAGAGGGAAACAGTGCAGACTATAATGATATGAGATTGCACAAATAATACACATCAAACCTTTTGGTTTAGGGACCAAGTTGGGGCTCCAAATATAACCATAGGGCATATCAGGAGGGGAAGTGTAAGATCCACGTAGATAAGTAACAGCTCTTAGCTTCAGCTTCTTCTTCCTAAACTCATTTATCAAATCTCGTATTCCAAGCCAGATTAAAGCATCAACTATTTGATAAGACAGCTGAAAGGCTCGAAACACAACATAGAAAATATACTTAGACATGACATAAGTAACTAATAAATTAGTTTGTTTTTTTTTCTTCAAAAAATTAGTTAGTTTTAGATTAACAAAACGAACACTAGACTCACTCTGTATCCAATCGGCTGCCTAACTCGGGAAAGAGGGTGGGGAAATTCATTAGTAGGCCTGAAATATAGTCAAATATCATTTTAATAAAAAGTACATAAAAAATATCTCCAACAAATAATATTAAATTTAAGTGAATAAATGATTCACAAAAAATGAAAGAACCCATGCTAGAAGACTTTTTAGAACTTGGTTTTAGCATAACTCAATCCCACATGATAAAACCGGTTTATAAGATGAGAGATGTCTCTTACTCATAAATACATTTCCAGGTTATATCATATCCCATGTGAGACTCTTAATAGAGTCTCTCATGCCCAACAGCCCAAGGCTAGAAATCTGAAGTGTGACCAAGGAGACCCAACAGATCTAGGACAGGCTTTGATAACTTCTTAGGTTTTAGATTAAACCTAAGTACCTAACTCAACTCTAGAAAACCATCAGCTTATAATGTGAGGGAGGCCTCCATCTTTTAAATACGCTTTCAACCCATATCATTCTCAATGTGAGACTCTCAACAAAAGTGCAACCCAGCAAAAAAAATATAGATAATTAAATGCAGGATTAGCCCATGTCAGCAAAATAAGACTTACGTCCATGGCATTGTGAAGAATATGTGCAGCGGAACATTTAGATACTCAGCAACATGAGTATGCCCTGCATAATTTCATAACATTAAAATAACAATAGTTTTAGTATTATTATACATAATAGGTGTAAAAAAAACCTGATTATCAGTTAGTCTTGCAGTCATTTCTATACAAAAAAGAAAAGGTGTTTTGGAAAATGCAATTATTTTATTGATTATATAAAAAAAATTAAATTAAGTTAATCAATATTCTTAAGATGCATGTTAGTTATTTTTGCTTGTAATTGAGACCGAAGGAAGTATAAACATAAGCACAAAATACAAGGAGTAAGAACAAGACAAGGTATTGATTATCACAAAAAACAACTCTTCCATAGCAGGGTAGTAAAAATACAACCTCAAAACCCTAAATAGAGTGACATCTCACTCTTCTATTAGTAAGGCTAGGAAAACAAAATACACCTTAGCCCCTTCCTTAAAAAAAACCATTACCCAAGACTCAGACCTGTCACAAATCCTAGCTAGGTTTTAGGCTAATATACCCTAATAGTAACCCTTTTTCCTTATCGTAATGAAAAGATGTGACCTTAAAACCATAGTTCCTCTAGCTGTTTATCAAATTTCCCTACAACATAGCCTGAAAATTGCTGCTGCCATTAAAACACTTGCATCCTATGCCATGGACTGGGTCTACTCTTTGAAGTCAATTTTTCCAAACTCAATTAACATAGAACTCCAGGAATCTTGCTCTTTAAGGACTCACATAAGCTTGATTTAGGAAACTAAAGCCTGGCACTGTCGATAGTTTTTCTTGCAAGGCCTCCATCGGTACCACAAGAGGAAAATTCCAACAATGTTTTTTTATTTTTTATTTCTTTGGGTTTCACCATATTACAATTACCGAATATAGTTTAAATTTTAGATTGAGATATTCTAAAGTTCATGGTGTACTGCTGCTTATAGAATTCTTAATTGATAATGGCTGATGGTACAAGAATGATAAAGACATAAGATTACCGTTACACACTTTCGTAAATTGGACTAAGCATTTCATAGAGCATCCATATCCTTAAATTTTATGAGACTTCAAGTCTGTTGTTGAAAAGACTTATGGTCACTATACAATACAATCTTATTATTTGATAAAATGTTTGATTACATTCTAAGTAATGCAAAACAGACTCAACTTGTCAATGTTACATTATTGTGAGGCAAAGCCTAACGAAATTGAAAGAAAAACTGAATTTAAGTAGATCTTACCATATGCTGGAGGGTTTGCAATTATAGCTTCTGCTTTAAATGGTTCATTTGAGTCTGGGTACCGGCTGTTGCATGCAGGAAGCAGAGAGTGAATAATAGACTTGATTTGACTTCTTTGTAATTGTATTTCTGAAGGTCCTGATGGCAAGAAGCCTTTATTCTTGACCATATCTGGAAAAAATCATGTATGGAAATAATTATATAAATCATTTGAAAGCATGTGTGAGTACATAATTATATTGGGAAACAGAATTATAATTTATAAACATCCCATCTTCTAAAAAATTGGTATATATGACAAACTCTGTCTTTTAAACTGGCAACCAAATGTAGCCGCAATGAAGGTGACTAGGGTTTCCATCACTATATTTATCTATATTGTGTTTGACTTGAATCATATGAAAGAGAACTACATGAGAAATCATTCAATTTGTAATTGTAGTAGTTAAGTTGTTGTGTCAAGCTACTAATAGAAAATAGTCTGAGGGGAAAATAAAACAAGCTGAATTTAGCAAGATAGAGAATAGGATGGTATAAGAAATACTTACACCCTGCAAGAACTTTGGGGTCTCCTCCTAAAGGGTAAAACTCCAAGCCTGCTTTCAAGACAAAATCTTCAAAATTTTTATGAGTAGCAAGCCTAACCCTGTGGCCGTCTGCCTGCAAACAAACTTTGCCCTCAATTAGGTTGAATTTAAAGGAGATAATGAAAATTTGAAAAGTAAAACCTTAAGATTTTAGAAAGTATCATAAATTTGTAAAGTACTACACAGTATATACCAGTTAAAAAATAGAATTTAAAGTCCACCATGAAACACAGGAGAGGTTTACATCATAGAGAAAATAAATGAGTGTAGCTCAGTGATCACCTATTATGGTTCATATGGGCTAGATAGGTGGGAATTCAATCGAAAGGATTACTTTCGGCATATAACTACAAGTTATACACGTATAACGTTTCTCTCAACCTATTCAAGTGTCGCTCAAACCTAAAAGGCACAGACATGCCTATTTCATTATTAATTAACTGCAACAGCCAACGGTAGTTTCGATATGAGAAAGAAGTAAAACATGTGATTTTGAAGTTATTTGGAATGTTAACTGGTAAGGACATCACATGAAGGACCACCTGAAATAGACAGTTAAAACCAAAAATCAAATGTCTGATGTAAGCTTTCTATCCACCTGTTAAAGAAACGCCGAACCAAAATGTTTCTAAGAGGAGACCAGTTATGTTCTTAGCCTTTTTATTTTCTAAAGAAACTAACCAGGCCAAAGCAGGGTCATAACTTGTAATTAAAAGTAGCAGACTATAAAACATTAGTTAGTGCTAAATTATTTTGCAAGCAATCAGCTTGTAAAGTGGCAGCCACAACCATGACCATAACCACGGTTTAACTTCTGAGTGTCAGACTGCATTACTCTGGGGCCCTACACGATTGCAAACAGCATTACTCTGGGGCGCTATACGATTGCAAACAGCATTACTCTGGGGCACTACACGATTGCAAACTACATCAACTTGCAAGGTGGCAGCCACAACCCTTACCATAACCACAATTTAAGACAATGAATTTATAACTTCAGTGAAAAGTACCAACATCATTTCTACTATCCTGAACATGTTCAGAGTAAGCTCAAATACTTCAATTCAAATCTCTATTATTTTCATGACCTGGATACCTTTCCTCCATAGAAAGACGTAAATTATCCCAAACATGGAGAAAATTAAGGATGTACAGTACAACACATATTTTTCAAGTAAATAATTGGTGTTTAAAAAACTACCGACGAAAGCAAGAACAAATAACACCTGCAGACGCTTCCCAATGGCAACAAATGGCTGGACATCTCCCCGTGTACCAACTATAAGCATTGCAATTTGTTGCGGTCGGATAGGTTGAATATCCTCATCGAATGTTTCGTTGCAAGGCTCAAAACTATTTTCTGGAGACTGAGCTTTAATATGTCCCAGAACATCAATTTCTACAGTACCGTCATCCTTAACCATTGAAGCTTTTTTTAACCATCTCAGCTGCAATATTTGCAAACAATTTTTATTCATTTAAAAAAACAAACAATCATTGAATTCCAGAGACATATAGGAACATCAATAGAAAGGTACATAGAATGAATATCAGCATGCTCAACAAGTTGTTATACATCACTATATCTAGGCAATAGAAAAAATAAACAGATTCTTACTTCCCTCGTAACCAAGGTTTTAAAAAATGTTCCGTTATCGCAAAAATAACCGCAACAAAAACGATATCAGAAGGTGTCGGTACCGATACCGTTATTCACTGATTTATGATGAAAAAGAATTTGCGATTAATTCATACCGCGACGACACCAATCAGTCTCGTAACATCTATACCAACCGAAATCGCGAAAGTCTTTACGCGACCGTTATCTAAAACCTTACTTGTAACATGTCTACTAAAAACAAAGTAAAAAGTGAGCTTCTAAAATAACAATAACACGAAATTCGAAGAGTGCAAGTGAATAATCCAAACCCTTTTCTTGAAAGGAACATTCTCATCAAAGAACTTAGCCAATAATCCACTGTACTTTCCAACTTTAGCATCTTTCTTACTGTGATTCGACGGTTCAGCCACAACATTTTGCGACGCAATTGATGAATCCCTGTCAACACACCCTGCGTAAGGCCAATTCAACCAAAAACAACTCAAACTTCTACACAAATATTATTCCATTATCAATTTCAAATTTCTTACTATATCTATACAAATTTCAACCTCCTCGTATTCTTAAATCATAATTAGTAATGTATCTATCAGCATTGCATGAGTAAATGCGATCTCGAGAAATCAATGATCACCTGAAGGAGTAGCGTCTGCGTCTACATAAACTGAAATGTCACTGCCGGAAGAGTCTAAACGGTGGTGATTGTTACTTGCCATATCGGAGAAGAAAACGATGAAAGAACGAATAGCGGTTGTTGAATCTGTGAATGAAGTGGTTATGAAGGAAAATAGGTTTTATGATGATGATGATGTGATGTGATGATGAAGAGAATGAAAGATTTGTTGGAAAGAGTTATGTCATGGTGAAGGAATAATAGCTTCTTCTTTTTTCTTTTTCTTTTGCTTTTAGTTTTCGCAGGAAAAAAAAAGAGAGAGAGAGGAAGAGAAAGCGTGAGAAAATATGCGAAGTTGACACGTGGAGGAACGAGAAGAGGTTTCACGAGACCGTTACATTGACCGCAATTGCACGTCTTCTTCATCTGCATTAACAACTCAAATAAACCTTTTTGAAAAATGAAATAAAGAATTGAAATTAACTGCTCCTTTTGTTTTTTCAATACCCACTAAGATCATAACGCATAATTGTCACTGTCATGACATCATGGTCATCGTGTCTTTCTCACTACTTAAATGAATCTATCGTTTTTTTCTTCTTAAGCAAACGTAATACTATTGTTTTTTATTGCCACATGGAATGATGTAGTTGAAAAGTTCTTAGATAAGTATTTTCCTCCTTCCAAGAATGCAAAGATAAAAAATGAAATTACTTCATTTAGGCAAGGAGATGAAGAGTCTTTATTTGATGTTTGGGAAATGTTTAAAGAGGTACTTACACAATGTCCTCACCATGTCATACCCATTTGTATTCAACTTGAAACTTTCTACAATGGGTTGATTCTTTCTTCAAGGAACATACTTGATGCCTCAAAAGGAAGATCTCTTTTGTCTAAGTCACATGAAGAAGGTTAAAGATTGATTGAGAGTATCACAATCAACACTTATCAATGGTCGGTTACAAGAGTCACTGTTAATTCAACTCATAAGAAACCTGTTGGAGTTCATGAAGTCATTGAGACAACAACTTTTGCTGCAAGTGGCCCAAATTCACCTAATGATGAAAATAGATGACTCAAGAAGTAGCTAAGCCTGAGTCAGTGAAGGTGGTTACTAACACATCTGCAGTTGTCTGTGTTTATTGTGGAGGTGCACATCTATTTAGGAATTCCCTGCAAATCTTATTTCAGTCAACTATGTTGGCAACACTTACAGTAGAAATAACAACCCCTACAACAACACATACAATCCAGGATGGCGCAACCATCCTAAATTTCCATGAAGCAATACTCAAGGTCATCCAAAACCTTAAGCTACTCAAGTACCACAAGTTCCACCTGGGTTTGTTGCACCTAACTATGTTGTGGCAAATCAATGCAACAACCAACTGGAAAACATTCTAAAGTCTTTCATTTAAGAGACCAAAAATCAGTTTCAAGCACAGGGGGTGAGTATAAAAATCTTGAGAACCAAGTGGGGCAAATTGCTATTGCTTTGAGCTCAAGAACAATGGGTACACTCCCAAGCTCTACTAAAACTCCAACCACACCATCTGGAGTAAAGAATGTTGGGACATGTCAAGTTATCAAACTTAGGAGTGGAAAGGAATGTGAAGGTTCCGCTCTAATAACGCATAGGCGAGTAAAGTCTTACATGGGACGAACAATGTTGAAGAAAAGGAAGAATCCAATGAGGAATCATCCTCATCTAGACAACATGAAGAAAATACTAACACCACTGTTAGAGGCATGACTCCCAGCTTAAGGAAGCAACCTGAAGTCACGCCTGATCTAGACAGAACCTATAAGTTCATTCAAGAAAGACCACCACCTCCTTTTCCCCCGAAAGATTAGGAAGGAAAAATAAGAGCAACAGTTTAGAAAATTCATGGAAATTATGAAGCAGCTGCATATCAACATACCATTGATTGAAGTCATTCAACAAATTCCAGACTACTCTAAGTCCGTGAAGGATGTCTTTACCAAAAGGAAAATAGTGGGAGAATTTGCAACTGTTGCATTCACTCAAGAGTGTAGCCACTTGGTCCAAGGCATGCTCCCCCTAAATTGAAGGATCCAGGAAGTTTCACCATCCCTTATAACATCAGGGAGACATTTTATCGTAAATTATTGTATGACTTAGGGGCTACCATTGACCTTATGCCCTTATCCATTTTTAAGAAATTAAAAATAGGCGCTGCTAGGCCTACAACCATCACTTTGCAGCTAACGGATAGAAGCATTTTCTACCCTCAAGGGGAGATTGAAGATGTGTTGGTAAGGGTGGACAAGTTTGTGTTTCCTGTTTATTTCATCATTATAAACTTCGACGTAGATGAAGATACTCACGTTCTATTGGGAAGACCTTTCCTTGCTATGGGAAAGACGTTAATTGATGTGGAAAAAGGAGAACTCGCTATGAGGGTTAATGGTCAGCAAGTGGTTATTAATGTGCTCAATGCATTATAATATCCTGATGAAGAGGTGGTTGATTGTTCTATGATTTCCAACTGGGAAGGAATCATTCACCAAGGTTTACTCAAGTCAAGCAATATCTTGACTCAAGAGCTGGGAAAATTAGAAAAAGGTGACAACTTACAAGAAGGAATTATGTGTTGACCTATGAATAAATCTACTGTAGAAAAGGACTCTATGGAGGTGTTGGAATTACTTACTGATGATCAGAAGCACAACTCACCTTTAATAGAAGTTCCCCCTGGACTAGAACTTAAGCAACTTCTTGCCCGTCTACAATATGATTTTCTAGAGGAAGGACAAAAGTTGCTTGTAATTGTTGCAACAGATATGATTGAAGAACAGAGGAGCCAACTGCTAGAGATTCTGAAGAAACACAAGAGAGTCATTTCTTGGAAAATTTCTGACATTAAGGGGATTAGTCCGACAGTTTGCATCCATAGAATTTTGCTAGAAGAAAATGTCAAGAACAGTATTAAAGGTCAAATAATACTTAATCCCATCATGAAGGAAGTGGTCAAGAAGAAAATTATAAAATGGTTAAATGTTAAGATTATCTATCCCTTTTCTAACAGTGTGTGGGTGAGCCCAATTTAGTGTGTGCCTAAGAAGGGAGGCATGATTGTAGTCAGCAATGATAAGGAAGAATTAATCCCCACAAGAACAATTACGGGGTGGAGAATGAAGGTGTGAAAAACACAAGAAAAGGGGGGGGGGGGGGGGGGTGAATTGGGTTTTTAAAACAAAACTATTCTTTTAAAAAATATTCTCCTTTAAGTTAAAATTCTTTTTCTTTCACTCTTGATAATAAAAATAAGTAAGATCAATAAGTAAAGAATAATATATATTTATACTAGTTCACTTGAAAATTATCAAGCTAGTCTAGTCCATCCGCCAAGGTAATTTCGCCTTACTCAATCTAGGACTTAATTTACTATAACCAAACTCATTATAATTTACACAAGGTACCCGCAAGTGGCTAACAACTTCTAAGACTCGCAAGTCAAAGACTTCTTAAGGATTAAGACCTACACGGTCCCTTAAGAATATGAAAGCTATGAACAACGTTTGCGCGTGAAGATTTTTCAACAAGAACTAAAACCAGATTTTTGAAAGTGCTTTCAAGTGATCTGAACTAAGGGGCTCATATCTGAAGGAAGAGTTAGGAACATTTGGAAACATGTCAACATTCATGCAAGATTTGGGTAAAGGTGGACTCTGGATGACTTCATCAATGGAGGAGCGAGTGATGGTAATCGGAACACCAAAAATGTGAGAATGAATGGTATTTCCATCAGGAATAACAAAAACATGAAGCCAGAAATATTTTAAGAGGTTAGGATAAACAAAACCTCTTAGCATTGTTGCATACCCAAACCATCCTTAATTTTCAATAACCATGTTGATGAAACCATCATCAAACACATAATTGGGTCTTTTCTCTTTGATTAACTCGGGAAGATTTTCATCTCCTTGAAAAGTTCTAATAGCCATGGTATGTAGACAAGATTGAAGATAATATACTATTGAAGGTGATACAAGGATAATGACTTGATAAATGACTATAGATGAAAGAGATATAAGTAGTTAGTCAAGTAGTTCACGAATGGAGACAATTGAAATACTCAAGTGATATCTCAGAATACTAAAAGAAGGAAATGAAGAGAGAAGTATATCAAAAATTAAGATGAGAGAGCATGAAAACATTTAATCATGACATGAAATGTCAGACATAAGCATAGGGGTATGACATGAAACGACTGTTCCCAAGGAGTAGTTAAATAAATGTAATCATGATTAATCAATTTCAAGAAAAATAATTGCTCGTGCATGGACTAGTTAGAGTGTGATAGACACTAAGTCTATTTAGGTAATGCATTTGATATTCTCAGAGTCTGGAGAACCAAAAGGTTTCCGTCTGATTAGGGACATTTTTGACCGAAACATCTTCTGATGTTTGAGATAAGACAAATTAGAAATATTTTGATTAAGTCAAAATCATATTCCCTCAGACTACGACTAAAACACAGTTGATTCTAATAACATCTTACTCTGGACAAAAATCCATTTTAAGATTCTTTAGAATAAACATAAATCTATCTTCAACCAAGGGTTTTGTAAAAATCTCAGCCCATTGATGATTTGTATCTATACATTTTAAAGATAGAATCCCTTTCTGAACATAATCTCTAATAAAATGATGTTTGATTTCTATGTGTTTATCCCTAGAGTGTAGGATAGGATTCTTACTTAAGAAAATAACGGCAATGTTATTACAGGAGATAGGGATGTTACTCTCATATATCTTGTAATCTTCCAACTGATTCTTCATTCATAGCATCTGAGTGTTACATAAAGCTGTTGATATGTACTCTGCTTCTATTGTTGAAAGAGAAATTGTTGATTGCCTCTTACTTGACTGTGAGATCAGATTCTTGCCTAGAAACTGATAGTTTCCAGAAGTACTTTTCCTCTCTATATGATCTCCATCGTAGTCTACATCATAGAAACCAGAAAGAGAATACTCTGATGTTTTCTCATACATCAAACCAAGGTTATGGGTTCCTTTTAGATACCTTAGAATCCTTTTAACAACAGTTAAGTGAGATTCCATGGGATCAGATTGGA